GTCAACCGTTGGGTTCAGTTGCTCACAGTGGTTGTATTCCAAGTTCAGCTGTCCGCAATTGTTTACTGGTGCCTCTAATGTAGATGTAGTTGTAGGAGTCGTTTAGGCGCCTCGTTCACGTTTTATCTGCTCTTCGCAATTTCGTCCAAAGAGCAGCATAAGGGCTCAATTAGTGGTGGTATATTATTGTATCAAATCTAGTTACAAAGAAAACAATGATGGAAATATGAATGTATGTTTAAATATCATCGAGTCCTTCTCAAGGTTGTGGTTTTTTTTTTTCGCAAATGTTCACCGAAAATTATTTGTCATAAAAAAATCTCTACTCCACTACATATAACAATCGGGTCACTATAATGAAACATCTAACTAAAAATTTGTTGTTTTGATAGAAAATGAAAAACCAATTATTTCAAAAGTACAGACCGACAAGTTAGCATGACGTTCGTCTGAAATATCAAACGAGGACGTCTCTCTATAGCCGAACTCCAAATTTGGTACAGTAGAGGGGTCACAAGCGGACATGGCAACTTACTTTCCACTTATTTACGGGCTCTGTAGAGGAGGAGAAGTTAGGAAAGCTATAATCTTATTTGGATACTTTGCTCGCATTGCTTGAATTCAAGTTCAGTTTTTGTTAAATTATCCACTAATCCTTGTCTCATTGCACGAATCTCTTCTCGTTGATCCATTTTTCAACGGATGACAGTTTGTTCATCAAGTAAGTGATTCAGATACCCTTTAAAATTTTAATTTTATTAAAGAGAAATTGCATTGAAACATTACAAATGTCTTTTGTGTTGACTAATCTTTTATTGGACCTTCATCTTTGGGTGCAATGCAACCAACCCGTGTATGATCTGGAACAGAAACAACCATAACAGTTCCTCGCGCCAAGAGACAAATCTTTCTAAGTTTAAACCTTCTTGGACTTGACATTTACAGCGGAAGCAGATGTCAAGACTCAAGAAACTGACAAGGAACGAAAAAAGATCCCTGTGTCAGTCTAGATGTCTAACCTACAACGAAATCTTACTTCAGAAACAGAAGTGCTGAACTAAATTTATTCATCGAACATCAAATGCCTTCGGAGCCCTTTTCGCTGCACTCATCGGTTTCTTCGGAAGTCCGGAAAGGAATAAGTTTCGGGCAAGGGAACTGCAAGATATACAGTGGAAGCCTGCAATCTAACGATCTCCTGCCAAAGCTTGAATCCAGTAGAATCCAGTAATGTACACAACCGAGTGACTAGTGCGGAGGATTCTGCCCCTTCCAGTTTTGAGATGGGTAATCCAATCATCACAAATGATAAGCAAAAATCAAGATCTGACAACATCACTAACTGCAACAAGTAAAAAAAATTGAGACACTTCAGGTGACGCACAACTCGAACAAATCATGTTGTTGCTAAATGATGGGTAAATGATACAAGATGAGAAAAAAGGGTCAGAAAAAGGAACATGTTCTTTTTAAGCGACGTAGTAGTACACCAATGTTGAAAAATTAAACAAGTTTTCTGAGACAGCGCAAGAGTTTAAAAGAAATGGCCTAATTATATATGATGGTTTTATCAATAAAACAGCTGTGTCACAAATAAATAGGCAATGCTAAAACTAGGAATTATCAGATGCAAATTGGGTAGCAAGAAAATGTCGTGTATCTTCACCTCAAATGGTCTAATGTGCTTTTCAAGTTCAGAGAGAAAAAAAAGGTCAACTGTCACCTGCTTTAGTTGAATAAAACTAGCTCTACTCGAGAGTGCAGCCAATCAACCATAACTGGTGCTGTAATCAAGAGTGAAGAGAAAATCCCTCGAGGCTTCAGTGCCCATTTGGATATTGAAGCGTTTAGCAAAAGATTCCACCAACACATCACTTTCATAGTCCATCTCCCGGGTACAACGTCTTCGGACCTTCTTCAGTGTCTCTCTTGATGGAACATATCCGGCTGATACCTGTAGGATGGACACTAGGCATACTCAAGAGGTTCCATTTTAAATGCACATAAACACAAACTGAAAGATAAGAATATCTCAGCAAACACAGACATGGATAACTTTTTTACCATTTGGTCAATCACTTGAAGGGCAGATTTTGCATCTCTTACAACTAGATGTGCATCAACAAGCAGGGAGTAAGACTTTGCATTGGGCTTGATCCCCAAGCTAACCATGTGGTTAAGTACCTTATCAGCTTCAGCGATCTGAAATAAAAAACAAAAAAAAATTAGAAGCAGACTCATAGACCAAGAGATAAACATGATGCGCAGCACTCTAAGCACTTGAGAGAGAGAGAGAGAGTATTACCCCCTTCAACTTTCCATACGCATACATCAAACAGTTGTAAGAATGGACATCAGGGCTCAACCCAAAAGAATGAATAGCCTCAAAAGTTTCATAGGCACGGACGAGGTCCCATATATTTGCACAACCTAAAATGACACAGTTGAGTGCAGCTACAGACTTGTAAGGGCATTCTGCACGACTCAATTTTTCGAGTTGGAGGTACACCTGAGGCAGATTGAACAGATATGATTAAAAACTGATTTAACCACCCAAAACTGGACGGATTAAATCAGACTTCTAATACTTAGTCAAGTACACTAGCCTTTCTCCCTTCGGCAAGTCACGTTGACTTTATTTCAAGGACAAGTAAGCTGTCCAAGGAAACAACAGGGAAAATATAGTTATATTGAAACTTGTATATGGAGTACAACCTTTAGTTGCAATAAATTGCACTAAATCAGCTGCATTCTTTCTTTGGAACAACTAGTAATTCAATAGGACAGCTGAAAGTAGAAAATTACAGATTCAACTATCACAGTGAGCAGATGAATCATCTGGGTGATTATGCTCTTTGTACAAAAACTTTCAATGGTATAGTGGTTCAGCTTCTCTGAAAAAATAACGTCAAACAACCACTACATGATAGGAGAAGATACGAGGAGCACAAAGTCAAGGAATAGTACCAGATCCAATGTCTCAAATCCCTTTCTTGAGCATGCCACTGCCAACGGATACAGAGAAGTAAACGGAGAGAACATTTCTTCCCGAGCTTCTTCATCATAACCTTCACAAGCAGACTCAAATTCCCGCAATGCAGCAACAGCCTTTTCCAAATTTCCAAATGCTGCATGGGCATTTATCTTAGCAATGAAGCACTGTGGGCTTGGATTTTTATGGCGTAATGATCGGCGAAGAACAGCCCATGAAGCATCCATGAGATTAGAAGTATAGGTCCTCGCTGCAGTTCTTAGTGCCGAAACGACCAAGCATTCGTCTACGGCAAGTTGCATAAACGGTCTTGCAGCCTCACCCTTGGCGATCCATCGGGCCAGAAATTCCAGAGCATGGAACGCTAACTTGCTGTTATCCTCTCGAGTTGCAGCGTCTAAGATATAGTTGCACTGGTTCCAACTAGGACTAAGTGCTTTGTTCTGGTCCATGGTCTACTAAAAACAGATAAAACGAAGCCACATTGCGGAAATTATTATCTATGCCACTGCCCATGAACTGGAAACTACTAATCAGCTAAAACAGCCAAGTACCTTGCACTTCTCGATAATCGCAACCAATTTATCAAGCTTACGCCCATCCAGACAAGCTCTCGCACACTGCGTAAACACTTCCATTGACAAGCTACATCCACTCTTCAAAGCCTTGTCAACGCACTCCAGAGCAACAATACTTTGTTTTTGCTGGAAAAGCATTGTGATTACCATATCATAAGACTCGTCATCTGCCCGAGCTCCACCTCCAGCCACCTCCAGCCTAAAACAAGCAAAGAACCAAACACTCACAATCACCAAACAACATCAAACACGTGAAGGTTACACAACGGAAGTTCCCACATTCCGTCAATGAAGCAACACCTTTAACTCAGCCAAGCATGAACTAACCGCTTGAGCAGCTTCAATGCGGCCTCCGCCTGGTTAGCCAACTGCATAGCCTTGAGAACGAGATTATATGACGTCGTATTGGGCACGATCACAAAGTCCTCCATCTTCGCCACGAGGTCGAGCATGTCCCCCGCTGGGGCCCCCATCATGAGGTTCGCCCTAAGGTAGTAATTGTAGAGTTCAACGGTGGGCCTATTGGGCTTCCCGTTCCAGTCCAGCGACCTTATCCACAGCTCAAAGTACTGCTTCATCTCCGCCCACCGCAATGACGTCATCCACTCGGCGAATAGGTTCAGGAGGCCGGTGGCGTCCATCGCTTGCGCCGCCGACGCCGGCGCTGGTCGGGACACAGACGGAAAGTAAGGGCAGCGAGGACCGCCAGTTCTCGCTGTAGGTCGGGCCAAAGGTAGACGGTTTGGGAGGGATATCGGTTGGGGTGGGGCTCGGGCCGGGGTCATGGTGGTCGGCGAGCTGGGGCTCATGTGACAGGGAGGGGAAGGTGGAGATTGGCTTGATTTGGGTGGCGGTGGCATTTAGGGTTCTGATTAGGGTTTTGGTCCGGTTCAGGATCCACATTTGGGTCACCATTTTCGCGGGCAGAAGTGCAGTTAAGTTGCTGTGTTAGGGTTTTGGGAATGGCGGTGGTGGTGGCGGCTAAATCTTAGCTTTCCGTTCTGGGAATGGCTTTTTGGTAATTATATTCCCTTTCTGGGGCTGTTTTCGATTTCGCCTTTAACTGGAAGCCCAACTATATGATCTTGGACATTCCGGAAAATTTAGGCCCGGGGAATGAATGAATCCCAGTAAAATTTAAATGGGATATACATTCGAGAATAATTAATAGACCATACGTTACACTATTTCAGTTTCATTTTTTCAATCGAGCGTATAATATGCATGAGTGTATGTTATAAGGTGAAAGTTTCATAAAAATTGCAATCGAATTAGATTTCTACAATGTATTACACTTTTCAAAATGTCTCATAATTGCAAACTCAATTTGACCTCAAAACATCAAAAGTCAAAAATATAGTCGAATTAGACTTCAAAGAAGATCATGATGCTTATGTTGATCTTCACTACACGAATCTTTCGAATGTTTCGAGGTCAGGTGTACTTTTCTTCCACATGCATCTCAATGCAAGGCCATAGTATTAATGTTCAAGACATGTTCCTAATCACGAGCTTCATTATGAACCTCGTGATTAGCACTCGAAAACAAGTTGTTTGAAATCACAGTTAATTTTGCTGGATTCTTTATCTTTACATTACACTTTGGAACTGTCGCATTGGTTATGAGTTTCTTTAGACGAGAGCTTGATCTTGACGGAGTTTGAAGGACAATTTTTTTTTGTTGGGCTTGACTTTTGGAACATCATGCATCTTAGTTGTTTGATAAGGTGTATCAATACAAAGGTGAACAATTTCTAAATCGAAAGCAACAAAGAATTGTGAGTCAAATTCATCCTCATCATCTGTATCTCCTAATACAGTTGAAGTATCACGACCAGAAGACTGCAAACCACAAGTATGTTGCTCATCAATGTGAGAAAAACTTGCACTAACAACATCAAGACTCTACACCTCCACAATTAATGACCTACAAACTGAGAATCATGTCTCCTGTAGTAGTCTTCTCGTGTTCTTTGGAATCACATCCTTGAAGTCAGATCTTTACCAATTTAAGTTTGGAAATTAGTTCTCGTTTTGAGTACATGATTAAGGACTAAATCAGATTTAATTTTTTGTTATAAGGATCTCATAAAAAAAACCCAAAGAGAAATATGCATTTCAACAAGTAAATAATTTTTATAATTATAATATTCGTGTTATTATGATTATGATTGTTTGAAATTCTTTAATACTAAAATTTAAAATAAAATTGTTTGTTAAGTTTTGTTATTCAAAATGGTCGAATTCAAACTATTCAATTATAAAATAAAATATCTCTGAAATTGTTCGTCTGACAGTATCCGGAATAAATGCTTCAACATAATTTAATATACAACCTACGAAAGACTCGACCGTATCTCAATCCAAATAAGATCGATCGTCTCGTAAGACCAGATAAGCATCCAACAATTCAGTTAATTACGAAAGAAATGCTTAATAAGCCCGAATCACATGCCAATACAAATAATCGATAATTTCAACCATAAAATCTACACGGTCCCTACTTCCAGCTGTCACCTCTACCACAGAAGATGATCCAAACGTGCTATATATTCCCTTTATATAAAAATAGAGACACGTAAAGACGAGCATCTCTTTGTGGTTTCATTTGTTCTCTTTTTTGGGGAATATGGAGAATTTTCCAGAACCCAATCATACACTTTATAGACGACCTCGTTATAAAGAAACCACCGAATTTCATTTGCTTCCAAAAAAAAATATGCAAATTATCTTCAGATTCCTGGTCTTTACAATATTCTTCTATTGAGTCTTTTTTTTTGTGATAAATGAGTATTAAGTCCATGTTTTATTCAAAACTATTTGTCTCGGGTCCCCACCGATCAAATCAAAATTTTTTTAAAATTTTTTGTCATGTGAAATGGCTATTTTACCCTTCACAAAACGACAAATTTCATCATATTGTTGTCATTTTGTGAAAGGTAAAATAGTCATTTCACATGACAAAAAATAAAAAAAAAATTGATTTGGTCGGTGGGGACCCGAGACAAACATTTTTGAATAAAACGGGGACAGATTAATCATTTATGTAACAGGAGGGACTCAATAGGAGATTTCGGTAAAGACCAGAGACCTGAGGGTAATTTGTCCAAAAAAAATTTATTCCAGCCAAACGCTCGATTGCTTCCATCACCCCTTAATGTAAATCTTTCATATGTTAGGGGGAATATATATTTAATCGAAAGATTTCCTTTTCGGATCTAGAGGAAGTTGTTAGGCTGTATAATTTCATTTGAGAAAAGAAAAAAGTCGTATAGAGAGCATAAAACTGTCTCGTCTGTCTCCAATTTTGTTCAACTGAATTATTGACATCTATCTGTATTTTCCAAAAAAAAAAATAAGAAAAAGATATTCGTGCGTGAGTAAGCAATCATTTGCAACTACAACAACAAATAGTATGATTTTATAAGGTGAATTAGTTTAAAATTTTTAGTCAACGTAATATCTTGAAATTTTAAGATGGACAAATGAAATGCTAGTAGGAAAAAAAAAACAGGCGAGTCAATCCGAATGGCATGCTGTGGTCGCATGCAGTCAAATCGATACCAAGTGGATTAGATGGGTCCCCTTTGGAAATTACGTACATCAAAACTGTTGTGTGCAAAAGCATAGTATTTTCATGGCCAAGGATTATATGCGGATGACTGAAATTTAATCCCCAGCCTGCGGATTGTTTTTACACCTTAGGATTAGAATTTAATTTATAAAATTTTCATCCAAGGGTTATTATTTGTAGGGGTAGAATAGGTATTCACCTAATCATTCTTTTCAAATCTATAATCCAGATATCCTCAAATCCCTCATTTTATATTTAAATTTTGAAATCCCTCAAAAAAGAAGAAAAGGGAAAATCCCAAATTCCCCAGATCGAGAAGAGAGAGAGGGAGAGAGAGAGACCGGGAAGATGATGAAGATATTGTTCGATCCTTGGCCGGTGTTCTTCAAGAGGGAGTGGAACCGCAACTGGCCCTTCCTCGTCGGATTCGCCACCACCGGCACGATCATCACCAAGCTCTCCCTCTGCCTCACCGAGGAGGACGCCAAGAATTCCCCCTTCGTCCAGAGGCACAAGAGGTGAATCGGAAGTCCATGCTTTGAATTTGTTCCCGGGATGGAAGCATGGCTGTTTTACTTTCACCGTTTTCTGGGATGGAAGTTTTATTCGTCCTTGGTACAGTATGCAACCTGGTGTTCAAGTCCGAGTCCGGAACAGTTGTGGTTGGGTGGAAGAGAGTATTGCGTTGTTACACTGTCGGTTAGATTGTGGTGCTCGTCCTATCATCTAGAGGATATGAAAGGTTTTTAGGATGGATGAGTTTGTTCCTATTAAGCAAGGTTCTGCGCATTTAATACAAAAAGTTGGATGAATAAGTGGGGAGTTGGGTGGTTCACTGGATAAATGATGGATCAGATTAAAAATCGTAACATGTTTTTGGCTTGTTTTCTTTTAGGCTTGAGGCACTAAATCACGTTATGTACAAAATCTGATTCTTATCAAAACTGGATCTGATTACTTGGACATGCAATAGATGGCCAATTGAATGGTATTAGAGTACTGGTGGTACCTGCTCTAAAAGAACAGAAGCACCAATATTTAATGAAGGTATCATTATTATAATAAAAGAACCAGTATTGTAATAAAGGTACCAAAACTAAATATAAATGGACCATTATTGATGAACATAGGTACCATAATTATCATTAAAGGTACCAATTTCTGGGCATGACCTTTACTCTGCGAATTAGTCGACGAAGGTGCCATTATTGTAATAAAAGAACCAGTATTGTAATAAAGGTACCAAAACTAAATATAAATGGACCATTATTGATGAACATATGTACCATAATTATCACTAAAGGTACCAATTTCTGGGCATGACCTTTACTCTGCGAATTAGTCGACGAAGGTACCATTATTTATTTTTTTGGTCGAAACGAAGGTACCATTATTGAAATAAAGGGACCAACACTAAACATAAATGGACCATTATTAATGAACATAGGCACCAATATTATCACTAAAGGTACCAATATCTGGGCACATGTATTACCGTTACTTTGCGAATTAGCCGATGATGAATCATGGTTTTCAGAATTGTTTGAGAATTCCATTGTTGTTGTAGCTTCAAAATCGTTGTACTAATATTGACAAACCGTGTACTAACATTGACGAACTGTGTATCAATATTGTTTAACAAAAGGTACCAATATTTATAAAAAATGTACCATTATTGTGACAAATGTACCAAAAATAAATGAAAAGAGTACCATTTTTATGAAAAAATACCAATATTACATACCAGAGGTACCAGAATACACACACCCGAGCCATTACTTGCTAAACCATCCAACTAGTAGCTTTAGGTTATAGCTCAGGTTCCTTGTAGGACTCCAGAGCTGACCAACATCATCGGTTCTAGATGAGGAGGTTAGAGGAGTCGCGGGAGGGGGCGATGGGGGAGTTCCGGTCGCCGTCGTCTTCTTCTTCCTCTTCGTCGGAGTCGTCGGGGGTTGAAGGTGGAGATGTTGCAGGAGAAGCGCTCTAGGGACGAGAAGAAGGCAAGAATTACCCACCCCGCCACGCCGTTGAGATTCTCTGCCGTTGCCTCCCCTATGTTTGCGTTCTCTTGGTTGCTATTGTTGCTCTCCATTTTGATTTATTCCTGGGGTGGTAGTTTCAATTTGGGAACGGAACCTTAGCTCTTCTAATCAGTATGTAGAACGAAGATCAATATGATAAGTTTGGCAATGACATCTACATGGAAGA